GATCATACAATTGAAAGACTAATTTAAATTAGGAGGGCACACTGGGCTTGGCAGAGGGCATTGTGTGAAAGCAAAGCATAATTTTCCTCTAAACAAAGACAAGCTTGTTGGAGAGCATGCTTTATTGCCTGGAAATTCTATATATATGCAAAGTTGCTCATCAATTCACTGTTGGGTTTTATGTGCTTGGTTTCTCCTTTTGTTTGGAAAAATCAAATGCTGAAAAAAGTAGGCGTAGCTCTGCGTGCTATAGGCGTCAAGAAACCTACACATGCCAATTCTCTTGGTATGCGGTGTCCCCGTGTGGGGAGCTGCCTGCAGGAGGAATGGTCAGACTGGGGCTTCATGCAGGTAAAATCAGGGTATGTGCTTCAGCAGAGCCCACCCAGAATTCCTGGAAAATGACATCTTTGTCTGATCCCAGGTGGGTATAGTGGGTAAGTTAGGGTCACATCCTGTAGACCACTTAGGGTTTTCTTTCTTTTAAGCAGCATTATTGTGACGCAATACACAGACCATACCATTTGTCCACTTACACTGTACGATTCAATAGCTTTTAGGATGTTGTAGTACCATTACCACAGTCAATTTTAGAACATTTTTGTCACCGCCAAAAAGACAAACTACACCACAGTTAGTATTCTCTGCAGACTCAGCTTTGGGTAACCTAGTGAAATGAAGGTGGACATTCTCTAGGATGCTTTTAAATAGAAATTCTCATCTTTGGAGTTGCCTTCTCCAGTTTGTATCTTAGCTTCATGGCATAGCAACTGTATTTAATACTCAGAAATAGCATCTGCATGACACTTTACAGTATGCAGAGAACACTCTTGTCAACTGCAGCTGAGAAGCATAAATGGCAGCGTGACAAGTTTGGGGCTGAGATGTTCGGAGGAACCATGTTATTTGGCAGCATCAGAGGGATAGGCCTGTAGGCTGGAAGCCAGGCATTGGAGCAACCTGAGTCCAACTGTGTGGAGTCTGGTTTGGGATGGGGACAGCAGGAGAACCAGTGACCGGAAGTGGATCCAAGCTGAGAATAGGGATGTGGGTACCAAGAGAATTTTCATATAGGAGATTGGGGGTTTAGAGGTCAAACATCAGGATGGAAGATTGTCAAAACAAGGTCATGACAAAGATCTGAAAGGGAGGTGGAGATCACCATAGATAAGCAGATGGGAAGGAGGGCCACACTTGAGAAGGGAGGAGCTGGGGTCAGCGTAGGAAAACCAGGAAGTCCAGCATGGTTGCCAAGCACTGTACCCTCTGAGTGCACCCCACCAGCCACCCAGCATCCCCCCTCACACTCCACATCACTTGGCTTTGAGTAACTCTGTTGGTGCTTTCTTCTCTCCACCCTGCCCGACAACTCCATACCTTTCTCTAGGCCCCCATTGCTCTGTGGGCCCATTTGGACAGGCCCCTTCTAGTCAGCATTTTCTTTTAGATTAATTTCCTTCCCTTTGACCAGGTCCCTACACCCATGTGTGCAATGAAGAGGCACTCGGGTAGGAGTCCCAGCTCTTTGGGATGTAGACAGGCTGGACTGACCCATCTCTGCTTGAAAGAAAGAGCAGAGATGAACCAGAATGTCATCATTTGGTCGGGGGTTGAGGGTGGGCAGAGAAGGTTCAGACAAGACTCTTTACGGGTCCTGGGGTCCAGATTCAGGGTCCCTCACTTGGCTGCCCTCCTCATGAACTGTCCCCACATCTCTCCTTAAAGGTGCCATTTTCAGCTTGACATTTTCACTATAGGAAGAATCCTTTTTTGTCCATATCAGCTGTGTACTGTGTAGAAAAGTAGCTGGCAATATCTCCTCTCCCAGTGAGGCTTATGAGGAATATTTAATAAGATGCCTCTCCACCCCCTGAAGTTTTCTTTCCAAATCATTCTAAATCTCTGATGCAACGTGCTTTAATTTTTTTCCTCCCAGCCTAAATATACCTCAGTGTATTCAATGAAAGTAGTGCGAAAGTATTAGTTCCTCAGTCATGTCCGACTCTTTGTGGCCCCATGGACTGTAGCCCGCCAGGCTCCTCTGTCCATGGAATTCTCCAGGCAAGAATACTGGAGTGGATTGCCATGTTCCCTTCCAGGGGATCTTTCTGACCCAGGGATTGAACCCAGGTCTCCCGCACTGCAGGCGGATTCTTTACTTATCTGAGCCACCAGAGAAACCCCATATAGATTGGGGAAAAATATGATATTTTCAAGTCATCAAGAATTTTATTTAAACCTGTAATAAAATCAAGAATACTCACATATTACATGTGTTGGGAAACACAAACTCATGTTTTATACTTTGGGTTTTCATAAGCACACTTGTATCATTGTTTAGCTTTTGTGTTGATTGGTGGAAAGGTGGTTTCTTTCCTTGTAGTGCTCCAGAGGGAATTTATAGGAAAGCCCAATGTAGCTGTTTTCTGAGAGTTGACATTTGAAGTTGAGTTTCTAGAATGCGGCAGAAGTCAGCCTGCGTCTGTGTGTGCTCAGAGGTTGCCCTGTGTAGGACAGTGGGACTCAGCTCTGCCTGCTGAGTTCTGGAGCAGGACTGGCGTCCTGCTGGAACAGCTGGTGTCCTCAGGCCTCAGGACAGCCCAGTGTGGAGAATACAAGGGAAACAGAAGGCGCTTCCCGGAAAACCTGGGTACAGAAGCTGTAAGGCTGACCCCTGAGGGCTGTGGCCAGCAATCAAAATGACTACTGGAAGAGCCCAGAAAAGTCCCCCTTGATCCAGGATGGCATTGCGACCAAGAGGGTCCTCTGGTCTGGGGCCTGGGGCCTGGATGAAAGGTTCGCCAGCATAGGAAGAACAAACAAAAACTGGACCAGGTGATTGCACTGCAGTTTGGGGTTGTCTGTCCAGGTTGGGCAGTATTCCAGCCTAGAATCAGAGATACAGGGAACAAGAGATACCTTCCAGGGAAGGGACAGGCAAGGACAAGCGGGCTGTGGACTTCACTGAGAGTCAGACTTGAGTCCCAGCAAAGGAATGGATACATATGAAGTCACCGTCAAAGCCCAGCACTGGGACCAGGCACGCCGGCTGGGATTTGGGGAAGGCTGTGACTCTGTGGCCCTTTGCACCCCCGCACCCCACATGCTAGATACCTAGACACCCAGGGACCGCTCTGGATCTTCCCGGCTGGTAGGGACAGAGGTTCCACTTTGTAACCATCACGGGAGAGGCAGAGGCCGCTGGACCTACAAATTGGGGGCGGAGGCTGTAATTGAGCTGAGTTGGGGAAGGCTAGTGTTGACAGAATAAATGCCCCAAGTGTGTCTGCTCAGTCGTGTCCGACTCTGTGGCCCCAGGGACTGTAGCCCGCCAGATTCCTCTGTCCTTGGCATTCTCCAGACAAGAACAGTGGAGTGGGTAGCCGTTCCCTGCTCCAGGGGATCTTCTAGATCTGGGGATCCAACCCGAGTCTCCTGCATTGCAGGCAGATTCTTTACCATCTGAGTCAGCAGGGAAGCCCCCAAATGTCCTGAGAGTAATCATTTATAGTTTCAACTCTGATTTCTTGTCATTTCTTGGAAACTTTTAATTTTATTATTGTTTTAAATATACTCAGAATAATATGAAGTATTCCTCTAAGCCTTTTGTTTCAATTCTGCCAATTATTTATATTTTGCCCCATTTACTTTATCATTCTTTGTCTCTTTTTAATTTTTTTCTGAATCATTTGTAAGTTGAGACATTGCACTCCTTTATTCCTAAATATTAAATAGTTCAGGGTATGTTCCAATAGAACAAGGACATTTTCTTATATAACCCATAACACTGTTATCAAAATCAGTAAATCTGGTTCCTTTTAACACTAATAATATTCAGCCACCATCCATAATGTTTTATAATTTCTGTTCTTTTATTTTAAACTGTCAGAGATTGAAATTTAATTAAATTTCTTTTTTTCTTCTGACAGTCTTGGGGGAGAGAGCACAGGCAATGTTTTTTCTTCAAATGTATGACATGGGAAGCCTTTGCCAAGTTTACAAAAAAATGCAGTTGGCAGTCGATGGAGTTACAACATAATGACACCAATTAGATAAAGCCATCAGAAAGATCAAAGACATTTTCTGAGTGATATGCTTGCATATTTGTTGGCCTTGGAATTAAATTTTTACAGTTCTATCTCATTTTCAAGAATACAACTGAAATCACCACTTGCTAAGATTTCGTGTATATGATCTTTATCTTTTTGCCTTAAACTCAGAGAAGATCTGTTGCCAATGCAGACTCAATATATTTTCCAGATTTCCCCCAATTGGCCTAAATGGGAGTGTAGCCCCAAAACTGAGGTGTCTAAAAAGAAAGCAATAGTAAAATATGTTCTGATAGCAGTAGCTATTCAAAATATATTATTGGAGAGGCAAAAAAAGGACAAACCGTAATGTACCATATGATCCACAGAAGAAATGAGTGTCGGCAGTGGTTAACTCAGCAGTAGTGGGATAGGTCAGTAGGTAGAGAGGGGAGTGAAAGGGGAGAATCGTTTTTTTCATTTTACAAACCATGTAGTTTAAATTTTTTAGCATGTGCTTTTATAAATGTTATAGTAATAACAATTTTTATACTGGAGAGGAAGAGTGGGAGATAGAGATGGTAGTTAGAACAAAATCAAAAGGCAAACTTATTTAAAAATGTGGCTTAGAAAGCAACAGCAATAGGCAGAATTATGAAAAAATAAGTTGGATATATAAAATGAATCATTTTCTACCATCATCTATTTATATATGGCTGCCAGTTTTTTCCAGCTAGATTCATACATGGGTCTCTTAAAACTAAATTTTCACTAACGAGTGCATTTTGGTGCTAATTCTGGTAGAGCAGACCGGCTGCTCTATCCCACTGTACGTTCTTTTAAATAACAAAATTGATTAGTATTTAGAGATTTTTGATGAGTTGAGTTTAGGTCTTGTTTTATCAGCATCAACTGATCTTCATGCTTCTCTTGTCCCTTCTTTAAAAGCAAAAAGTTCAGGATGATCGAACGTGGAGAGATGACAGGAACAAGGAACCACTCAAGGGATTCAAGGGGTACAGTATTCCATAATAGACAGAAGCTTCCAGAACCACACAGGGCTGTATTACCATGATTCCCCAGATACAGGCAGTCAGTGTGTGTTGGATTGACAAGGATGTCTCAAGGTTTTTTACCACAACTTGGAGCAGAATAGAAGTGGTTCCCATGAAGGGAGATGGAGAAAATAAGGCACCATGTGTGTGAGCAGGACACTGCAGGAGTGAGGAGTAAACTCAAGTACAAAGGCTCCAAAGGTCTAGCATATTTGAAGCTGAGAAGTGGCCAACTCCAGGCTGTGGAGCTCCGTCAATATCTGAAAGAGGAAAAATGCACTGCTGTTGTTCGTTCATGAATGCGGCAAAAGCTGGAATCCTGTGTGCCCCTGGGCTTTCAGGGTAGGATTGGGATTAAGGAGATAGGACAGCTGGGAAGCTGGTAGATGCTTCTAGAGGAAATAAGCACAGAAATGCATAGTACCTGTGACCCAGTGGTTTCAAGTTTTGAGGGACAAAGTCAAAACCTAAAGAAGTGCCTCTCAATTGGGAAGTTCAGGTATCTGTCTGGGCCAGGAAAAGTCCTCCTACCCCACCGTCTTAGTCTGTTCAGGCTGCTATAGCAAAATAGCATAGACAGGGTGGCTTTTAAACAACAGAAAATTATTCTTCCCAGTTGTGGAGGCCGGCAGTCTGAGGGCAGGGTGCCAGCCCTCTGCTGAGGGCCCTCTCTCGGGATGCACACTCCTTGTGTCCTCCTGGCAGGAGGGGCTAGGGAGCTCTTGGAAGAGCACTGATCCTTCATCTCACACTTAAACCCTCCCACAAGTCCTACCTCCTAACAACAATTACGTTGGGTGTTAGGATTTCAACATATGAATTTGAGGGGACGCATCCAGACCATAGCACCTCCCGAATCACCCCCCACCATCCGCCTCCTGCTCTGCCTGCTGCCCTTTATAAAGTACATTGTAGAGCAAGAAAGCAAAACCAAAATGTTGGTAGCTTCTTCTGCGTTCCTATGACAGTCTCAGGCTATGACTTTCTGTGAAATGCTCCTTTATTTTAGGTTTTTAAATGACTGATGCATCCTAATTCTGTGTCAACATTTAAACACTTACTTGAAATTTGCTTGTTCCCATGATATGTTTTACAATATTCTTGTTAGTTTCATAAGCACTGGGCTCGATCATTTTAAGTGAGAATGACTGTATATCCATCACTTTGAAGACAAATATGGTTAAATAAAATGTCAATCAGTTGGTTTTTCTATAAACAAGGATGCAGCAGCTATGTAGAGACAGTGCTCATAATCTCATTTATACATTAGATGGACTGTGGTAAGTTCAGGCTTAGCAAAAAGAGAGGTGAGGAGGATTTCTTGTGCAGTAACAGCTACAGAGCCATTTATTTTATGACGAAATTAAGTAGCATTGACCTACTGTGTGTGTCTTCTTCTCCATTTGAATGTTTCTAAGAGAAGCTCATGGCTAACTCAGACAAAGTTGAGTGGCTGACTGAATCGCATGGCTAACTAAATCATACTCAAAGATGCAGGGTGTGCACTAACTTAAAATTATTAATATAATCATTCCAGTGAGCCCCCTGAAATCCCCCAGCCTTTTAGTCATATTAAAAGTGCACGTGTGTTGAGTGTGCTTCAGCAAGAAATCTGAGTCTTTATTATAGTAAGTCTAAGTGGTTGGAGATTGTTTGGCCTTGAGGAACAAAGGGTCTTTACCACCCTCTGTCCACGTTCCTTTCTCTTCCTTCTCCCCCAGACTCAGGCCCCTTTGAGGGGCCACATCCAGGCCTGTCCTTCCCTTAAGGGCTTAATGCCTTTCTTGTTTTCCTGTCAAAACTGTTCTCCACACAGCAGCCAGAATGATCTTTTAAAAACACTTATCTGTCCTTATCACTTCTCCACTTAAACCACTTCCAGCTGTACTGAGATAACGTTCTAAACCTCCGTCGTGGCCTCCAAGCCTCACACTGCTCTGTCCATAGTGACTTCCCCTCTCTTGCCAGACACACTGCTTTGTCTCCACACCACCCCTGTTCCCTCTACCAGGAAGCCCCCCTGGTTCTTACCTCCAAGCCTCCTCAGTCTCATATTCCATGTCCTTGCCCTGAGCGCCATATCTGAGCTTGCCCCACACTCCACCACCCAGCCACATTTTCAGTGTACATTTTGCCTTCTAGCTCCTGCACTGAGATGCCTGTATGATCAGATGAGAATGGCTGTCCCCTCACTAGATGCAAAGCCCATGAGAACCTCTCTATGAGAACCCCACTGTGCTTCTCTCATCCCCTTGATTGACTAAGTGAATGCATTTTCCCCTTCCTTTCCTTCAGGGCTAATCTGACTTCATCTCTGTGATTGAGCGAAGGGCTGCCTAACTATATTCTTTGCAGCCCTGATCTCACCTGAGAGTACTCGAGGGTCCCTCCACCTTTTGGTTGGGAATCTCTGCACCTTCACAGGCCAGTAGGAGAGAGAATTTCAAACAGATTTTGGAGGGAGACTGTATTTGTTCACTTGCAGTATCATCTTACTCAGGCTTTACTCTAGGATTCCTAAGTGATTCAGGTTTGGAAAACTTCCTCCATTAGAGCTATTGTTGTCATTATCACCCTCCAAACTATAGCTCTTGCAGGTTGCTCATGGATTTAAAATGGCCATGAGTTGGCAAGCAGAATTTTGCCTCCATTTAGAAATAGCTGTAGTAGAGCCAAAGGATGAATTAAACATCACTGAAGAAGAGGCGATGAAAGTTCTCTGTGCCCTGTGAGGTCAATGCTATAGAAATCAAGAAACAAGGAAACAAAAGAAGTTGGCATAAGAGGTGAACTGGTCCAGCCAGTGACCTGCTGTGAGAGAAGCAGTCCACATGGCTCTAAAAGGGTAAACAGGAAAATTCTCCTGGGAGATTTCCCTTTACAACCACTTTGTGTTTCTCCCCTCTCATCTATGCTTCACACATTTAAAAATTCTCCAGATCTCTGGGATTTTAGAGCAATATGCTATGTCCATTTCCCCACTATACCTTACATAGCATATGGAAGGTGTAAAGAAATAACTATTGCCAAGACACAGACAAAAAGCGGGGAGCCTAAATTTTATATCCCTGTTCTAAGTTATTCTACTGCATATTCAGGATATTTTCAGAAAAAGTCCAGGTGACTTGTCATTATATTTCATGAACTCGGCTTTAATACTTTGGGGGAATCTAGTACAGATGTGATGAATGGTACATGATGGCAGGACATAGCCCCACACCACTGATGCGGGCCCCTCTATTCTTGCCCAACCCTGGACACTGTCCGCCATGGGCTGTCATGAGTGTGTCCCTGTTCTGAGGACACGTGCGTCCCTCCTACCCACAGGTGTTTACAGCAAGGCCTGTCCATAGTCCTCATGACTTCCTATTTGTCATGCTTTTCTAGTGCTGATATCCCAACCTAAGGATGGTATTTATGCTTTTCCTACAGCTTGATGATCTCCTAGGTAGATGGAGTTGGTGGCGAAAGGGGACAGTTGCTGGGAAGGCCTGTATTGGAAGTCGAGGTCCCTGCCTGGCTGCTGGGAACGTGGTGAAAGTGGCACGCTGGCAGCCTAGATGCCTTGGCAGTGGGCAGCAGCTCGGAGAACATCTAGGAAAGGCCTCAGTGTATTAGGAAGGTCTCGACCTCCAGGGTGGGGAGTTCTGCCCTACAGGGACCCCTTCTTCTCTTGTCACAGAGGATTCAGCCAAGGTTCAAGCTGCCCACCTTCTTTTATTCTCTGTGAGTCCTGTTTGGCAATTTTTTTTTTTTTTATGTGAACCAGTTTTAAAGGCTTTATAGAATTTGTGACAATATTGCTTTTGTTTTATGTTTTTGGTTTTTTTTTGGCCACGAGGCCTGTAGGATCTTAACTCCCTGACCTGGGTTGCAACCTGCGCCTCCTGCATTGGAAGGTGAAGTCTTACCCACTGGTCTCCAGGGAGGTCCCCTGCTTGGCAAACTGAGACTGGCCTTCAGAATGTGACATGTCTCTACTATGCCTCCTCCTCCAGCACATGCCGCCCAACCTTTGTATCTGGCTGCTGGGCTACAGCTGGGCCATGTGGAGCCACTGTGTAGAGACGTGTTCCCTGCTCTGGGAGGGAGCGGCCAGGTTGGGGGTCCAGACTCTGGAGCAGAGTTGGGTTACCCCCAACCTCCCTTGGCCTGGCGGCTGCTCTGACAGCCTTCCGGCCAGCGTTGCTCAGTGGCCTTGACGGGGTAGTGAAGGAGCTGAGAGATGGACCAGGTTTTAACTTTCCTGTCATACTTTTTCTTTTCTCAGTTTTCTCAGAAAACGTTAAGATAGCCAGTGGCACATCTCTTCCCTCCATCTAGGACAGGCTTCTGACCTCTCTAGCCTGAGGACTTCTTCCATGCACTGATTTTGCCTTGTAAACTGGCCAATTGTAATTTAGAGGATTTTTTTTTTAAAGATTTTGTAAACCAAAACCAGTTCTGATGGCTACAGAGTTTTACTGATTTTTGTTCAGTTATTTCTAGGTTTACTCTCTTGTGCTCTTCCTTTCTCCTTGGACTATTTTACCACGTGGGTATGAAAATAGGCAGTATATTATAAAATGGCTTAAGAACATCTACTCTTTAAGATGTTATTTTTACAACTCCTTTTAGTAGACAGGTCAGTGGATGTATTGTGGGTCTTTATGTTGTGTGTGTATCAGCAGCCTCAGTAATAAGAAGTCACCTAGAGAGTATTTTTCTCTAAAGCTGGAGACTCTGCCTGGGATATATCGTCAAATATATTGGGATTTGTCTGATCAATTCTTGATTGTTTCTTCTCCTCCTCCTCATTATTATTATTTTTTTATTATCATCAGCAATCATTTATTAAGTCCTTAATATATGCTGGGCACTTTGGAGTTTATTTCTCATCCTTCCAGTGGCCCTGAAAGATAGGTGATGTTATCCCAAGTTCCTTACCTAGGAAACTAAGGTAACTTACTCAAGTTCACGTAGGTAGCATGTGGCAGAATCAGAATTGACTCCGTTCTTGTGTGATTCCAGCGTCTGCATGCTTTCCATTACATTAGAGGCACTTGGGTTTTTCCACTGAAGTTCTCTGAATGCAGAGGAAATCAATACATAATGCCCGGGGTCTAGACCCTTTGTAGCTAGAAGCAGCCAGCAGCAAGCTCAAATTTCTTTGAAGTTGCATGCTTTAATCTTTAAAATGTATGCAAATTTAGTTTTCTGCTCCATAATATAAAAGTATAAAAGCAGTCCTTTCAACTACTTGACATAGAATAAAATTTAAGCTCTAGGAAGAGCTTCTGTTAACCCCTGTCACATCCCCTCTTGTCCTGCTGGGTGCTACACTGGGGGTCAGTACACCTCATTGAGAAGGTCAGCATTGCACTATGATGCATCTTAGTTAAATTCTTAGTTCTTCCGGTTTTGTTGGTAACTTGTCATTTGGCCAGTCTACAACCATAGATGTCTAACAGAGAATAGAATCCCCTTTTTTTTTCCTTTTTTTAAAATTTGGAGAATAGTTGATTTACAATGTTGTATTAGTTTATGCTGTGAAGAAAAGTGAATCCATTATATGCATACATATATCCACTCTTTTTTAGATTCTTATCCCATATAGGCCGTTACAGAGTATTGAGTAGCATTTCCTATCCTCTACAGTAAGTCCTTATTAGTGATCTATTTTATATACAGTGCTATGTATCCGTCAGTCCCAAATCTCCCAGTTTATTCCTCTGCCCCCTAACACTTCATAGGCAAATCCTAATTTGGTCTTTGTTGATTTCTTCATAGAAGAAGAAATGCTTTCTCTGGACGGCATCTTTCTGGCTAGGAGTTTAAAGATTATTTAATCTTACGGTTTGTAGACTTTAAATTTACAGAAGCAAAAGTCATCTTTCAAATGAAATAACTCTTGGAACTCTAAATTCTGTATCAGCTAAAAGTGAAGACACTCAAGTTGCCATAGGAGCTGAAGGCTCTGCTTACATGATGCCTTGCCTGAGGGCCCTCCAGGAGCTCAGGGTTCTGCAGAAATAGGTTTTAAACCCCATTTCACCTATGCTTTACCCTCCACCTCTGGCAGTCACTAGTCTAGTCTCTGTATCTATGAGTTTGCATTTTTTATATTCATGTATTTTGGATATTAACCCCTTACTAGATATATCATTTGTAAACATTTTCTGCCATTTAACAGCTTGCCTTTTCATTTTTTGATTATTTCCTTTGCTGTGCAAATACTTTTCAGTTTGATGTAGTCCCACTTACTGATTTTTGCTTTGGTTGCCTTTGCATTTGGTGTTAAATCCAAAAAAACATTGCCAAGACCAATGTCAAGGAGCCTACAGCCTATGATTTCTTCCAGGAGTTTTATGGTTTCACATCTTGTGTTTGAGACTTGCATCCACTTTGAGTTAACTTTTGTGGAAGATTGTGGTCCAGCTTCATTCTTTTGCAAGTGGCTGTCCAGTTTGCCCGACACCATTTATTGAGGAGTCTGTCCTTTCCCCACTGTATATTCTTGGCTCCTTTGTTGTAAATTAAGTGGCCATGTATGTATGCCTGGGTTTATTTGGGGGCACTCTTTTCTGTTCCATTCATCTATGTATCTAATAAGTTATTATAAGTTCAATTCAGCAATGACATATATAAAGCGATTAGACACTTGAACCTGACTGGATATTATGGAGATGTTACATTTGTTAGTTGAAATAGTGGTGTTATGGTTTTGTTTTGGGGGAAAAAAAGAATCCTTATCTTTTAGAGATTCCTATTGAAATATATGTAGATTAAATGATATATCTGGAATTGCTTCAGAGTAACTCTGGAAGGGGCAAGTGGATAGGATTGTAGATGAAATAACATTAGTCATGAGTTAACAGTTATTGAGGCTATGTGTTAAGTATGTGGTGTGAGATTCTATTTTTATATATGTATGAAAATTTCCATTCACATTCCAAAAGTCAACAGATATATATTGATTTTCTATTATGTGTAAGACAGAGTTCCCTGTGCTGTTGTAGGAGATTGAGGCTTTATAAGTGCAAAGGGCCTTGTCTGCCCATTCTCTGCAGTGAGCCCGGTGTCTAGGGCGCAGTGAGGACACAGGAGGTGCTCAGCACATCTACATGCTGAAACTCCCACTCTGCTCCCTGGACGGCTGCTCTGTTTTCCCTTCCCAGGAGTGACAGCTCTGGTAACACGCTCCATGAGCAAACCCTAGACCCCATGCTATGGAGCTGAAGGAAGGCAGAGTCCTGTTCTTTTAGCAGTCAGGAAGGTGCTTCTGTGGAGTTCATGGAAATTGATTTCAAGGTACCCGAGACAAATGCATTTGCTGCATCCAAAACAACATTTCTAAGCAAACCAAAATTGCTCCTTTAATTTAACATGAATTATTTCTTTCAGGAGCCTGTTAATGGAGTTGCTAACAGTGAGAGGAATACCTCAAAAGATTATGGGGGGTCATAGAACCTTCTTAGAACATAACCTAGCCCCCATCTGCTCTCTCTGAGCCTGTTTTTTTCAGAGTCCAGCATAACATTATGCCCAGAAATGTGCTTTGCTCCGTGCTTTCTCATGAGGAAGAAGAGTAGATGGTATCATAAGAAAAAGGAAAAGCAGAACAAGGAAATTATCAAAAGGAAATGTCAGGAATTCAGGGTGATGGATTGGTCCCATGGGTATGTTTGAGTGATTAGTTAACTCAGAGGCAGAGAAAAATCATGATTTTGAATGTCTGCATGCAGGTGTTAGTATAGTTGCCTCAGAAGGAGAAGAAAAAAGGATTAAAAAAAAAAAAGCTAGTCACATCTTGACTAGAAGAAGGCTCTTTTGAGAACTCATCAATGTTACATTACAAACACCATTCAAATCTACCAAATGGGCCAGATGGCTGCTCAAATACTGCGTGCTGCCAGCTGCCCATTGCTACAGATGAAGTCTTTTCTGCTGACGTTTGTGTAACCCACAAGCACGTTATGAAGTGTTGATTCTTTTGATGCTGTTTAACATTTATGTGCCATCGTAATTATAAACCATAAATATACATGACACCATGCAACAAATAAAATTGCCCAGCTTTCATTCTGCAAGGGGAGGAGGCTGTATTTATTACCTGAGAAGAGAGGATGTCTCGCACTCATATTCCATTCTTCGTAAATGTCACTTCTCTCTCACTGGGTGCTTGATCTGCTTGCTGTATGCTCACCAAGCCTTATTCCTTCAAAACAGCACAGACTCCCAGTGCTAATATATATCGCTGAGCCTCAGGTTTTAAAGCACGTCTGGACCAAAAGTCAGAGGGAGAAAATTCAGAAGGATCCAAATAGTTTTAAATGAAGCCAAACTATTCTATTTGACAACATACCACAGGTTCTTTGGAGGTCACATAACGGGCAGGTGTATAGTGTAAAAGGAAGCTAGCAAATGGTAGTGAATCAGCTTCTTTCACATCAGACACTTTCTAGAGATGCATTTCTTTTTGCTTTGAAAGGCAGCCGATTGAGTGCCATTCACCTGTTAGGAAGGTGGCGCTTTTATTTCTATCTGCATCTATATAAACCAAATGTCTTTTTCCTCCACAAAAGCCTGAGCCCATGTTTGGGAGAGTGAGAAGTCAGGCACGAGGTGGAGGGGAGGGTAAAAGCCCACGCTCTTTGGTTAATCAATCACAAACACGTGAAGGAGAGGGCTACAATAGAACCCCCTCCCCAGGCAGGGCCACTTTCAGCCTCATCCGGGAAGACCTCTTTAGAACACAGCATTTTTATTTTAGGCCACAGAGCCCAGACAGCACGCTTCATGGCTCTATAAATACAAGACTCAGATGCTTACTGACATCCAGCTTTTCTTCTTTTTAACATGTAAACACGTGAGTGCTCAAAGTGAGTAAATATCTGTGCACTGAGTTTACAATCTTGTCTTTCAGAAATATCGACAGTACATGGCAGGACTTCTGGCTCCTCCTTATGGTGTTATGGAAACGGGCTCTAACAATGACAGTAAGTGAAAAATATGAGCACTTGTATCTAAAAATTTGTCATGCGGTATGTGTTTTCATGTGACCAAAAAAATATGTCCAACACCAGCTTGACAGAATAAGTCTCCAGACTCCTTTGTGGATAAACAGACCCGCCAGCCCACTCTTGGGTTATTTTAAAAAATTGTTCCTACAGTATAATTATGTGGCCTTAGCTGATAGAGGGAGGTTTGCTCTGGTGCTTCTTGGAACTTCAGCATGCTTTCTCAAAGGACCTTCACCTTAAAGCATGGTTTGGGGACCCTTTTAAAAATGGGATTCATGAACGGTGTTTTCTCAGTCACATGTAGACACCTGAGTGCCCCACCTCTTGCTTATTTTGATGCTGTTAAAGCAGCATGAATCATTCTTTATTCTTCTTAAATCGTGCTCTCTTCAAATTCTGAGCCTTTTGTAGGAGACTGGTCTCTGGCTGCTCATAAAGGAAGTTTTTCTCTGTGATACTCTTTCCTAATGGGTGCCCACTAGACTTAAAGTAATTTTGTGTCCTGAGTCTATCTGGTCACGCATGTTGGAAACATCTTTTTAGCACTCAGTACTATCCCTGGGAGTTGCTTGTTGAGGCTCTGGGTCCCTTGACTTGGCTCTTATCCATGTATGTGTGACAAGGCAGCAAGCCCTGGGGTTTCTGATGCTGTAGCACTTCAACGCTGACACTGATGGATCAAGCAGTGCTTCCACTGCAAGCATCTCAGAGCCAGTCACCTTTCATGTCTTCCTGAATACCTCCTTGAATTCCCACTCTCTCGTTCAAACTGATCACTCTCTACAGGTGACCCTTCTCGCTTGATCAGGCTCTGAAGTGAGCTCCCTTCCCCTCTGTTTCATGCTTCTGGGCAGCCTGTGCATTCTCCTTCTCAGTTTCTCTTCTGTCCTTGGAGAGGTGGATGTTGGAGGACAGTCTTTCTTTCCTTTCATTTCTTCTCCTGTTCTTGATTTTTCTCTTCTGGTTGATCTAGGGATGATCAGTAACCAAGTTGGAAATCCCAGTTGTGCTGTTTCTTAGGTGTGTGGCTTCTGGCAAGGCACTTAATGTCTCTGTGCCTCAGTTTCCTTATAGGATTGTTTTGAAGACTGAAAGAAGTGCATGCATCGAATGTTTAGAAGGATGCATGCATGTATGTGTGCTCAGTCACTTCCAAGTCTTTGCAACCCCATGGTTTGTAGCCTACCAGGCTCCTCTGTCCGTGGGATTTTCCCAGCAAGAATACAGGAGTGGGTTGCTATTTCCTCCTCCAAGGCATCTTCCCGACCCAGGGATCAAACCCACATCTCCTGTTTCAGCAGGCAGATTTTTAACACCGCCCCACCTGGGAATCTCCATTTAGAAGGGCACTGGGCATATAATAAGAACCCAAATGATGTGAGCTACTATTTTGTCAACACCAGTGACTCTTTAACCCCTCAAAGTCTGACTTCCAACTCGAACCATCTAAATTGTCCAGTGACCAACCAATAACCAGACTGTCATTACTATTCCCCATTCTCTGTGACTGAGTAAGAGTTTCCACGTTCAGTCTCCCTTCTCCCTTGGGTCCCATGCTCCACTGAGTTACCTTGGTTTTCTCATGTCTCTCTGGCCACTTATATTCTTGTCTCTTTCATGGGTGCTTCTCCCCCTCATCTGGAAATTCAGTCTCTACTCGAGTCCAGCCTTGGCTGTTTTTTTTTTTTTTCTCTATACTCTCCTCTCTATTGTTGCATCCCTTCTTGCAACTGATACAAATCCTTCTTGAAACCAGTACCTCCATTTGAGTCTTTCAAAAGGCAGCCTAACTTTCCAAATGACAGCTCGTTTTCTATCCACCAGGTCGTCCTGCTGGTCTCATGCACTCACAGTGTTGATAATGGAGCACATGGTGATTCCCACAAACCATCCTTCTGCTGAAAGCCTACTTCCAATCATAACCACTGTCCTCCCATACCAGGTGCTAGGCCTCCACTGTTTGGAGCCCTCCCTTCTCTCACCTCCACCTACCGAGGTTAATCACTGGTCCATCCCTTGCTCCTTCCTCTACAGTGCTCATAAGCTTTCCTCTCCCTCCCTGCTGCAGCCCCCTGGCTGAGGGCCTCGTCGCCCTTGACCCGAGAGCAAAGTGGCTCAGTGGCTATGAATCTTCATTATTTCACCCTTGGTTTACCCTATACCTGGCTTACACAGAACTTTTTCAATTTACTTTTTATTATGACAAATTTCAAACATACAAGATGATACAGTTAACACCTGCATTTTCATCAATTTGATTTAATTAATAGTAATCTTTAATCCTTGAATGTGATTATTATTAACTTGGTAGGTATTTTCATACAATCATTTTGCCATATTTTCTTCTTCTAGTCATATATATACATTTCAGTGGACGGTTTTGAAAATGTAGACTTTTCCATGCAAAAACCACACCATTATCACACCCAATTGCTAGTATGATTTTCCTTAATAAGAGCCCCCACTGAATCCAAGTCCAAATTTCCCCAACGGAATGTCTTTGGACTTCAATCAGGACCCATGTCATTGTCTCCAGTTTCTATATCTTAAATGTCTTTTAATTTTGAAAAGTCCCTTCCTTTCTTTTTCTTGTTCGTTTCACTCTGTTGCTCCGAACCTTTAATGATGGCCCACTGCCAGTCATAGAAAGTGAAATTCTAAGACTGCTGATGCTTTAGCCCAACTTTCAGGTTCCTACATGGCCTGAGATCACCTTTTCAATATTGTTTCTCTACAGATACCCTAATTTCTATCCATTCCAATATGATGATGACAACTGCATTTGTCTTATTAAACCTCCTAGAAAGTAAGCTTCTGTTACAACCCTGTATCTCCTCATTCTGTCAGATCTAGTCTTTTCAAGTGGTTGTTGGATGGGTAGAGGGATAAATGGCTAGATGGATTCAAGATGAATTTCTGAGTGCTGACATTTGGATACCCTTACGCTTTCTGAGAGATCTGGGAAGTGATGGCAAACATGTTCGTTAATACTCTCTGCTTGAGAGAACAACCCTCTTCATCCCCTTGTTTTCTGTCAGAGCTTTAATGTCCTGCTACTATCCCAGTTTGGGGGTCAAAGTTTAATTAGGGTATGTTTCCCAGTAATCTATTCCTTTCTTCCCTCTCCTGCTTACTGCTGTCTATTAGGATGGGCGCTTGGTGCTTTTAATGCCAATATTTTAAGTCCTGTGTGGCTCCTTATTAAAAACATTGAGTGAATGAGTGTTAGTTGCTCAGTTCTGTCTGACTCTTTGTGACCCCATGGACTGTAGCCCACCAGGCTCCTCTGTCCATGGAATTCTCCAGGCCAGAATCTGGAGTGGGTAGCTGTTCCCTTCTGCAGGGGATCCCTTCCCAACCCAGGGATCAAACCCAGGTCTCCCACCTAGCAGGCAGATTCTCTACCATCTGAGCCAGTGTCTGTAAATGAGGGAATGGATGAATGATTAACTTATTTGCTAAGAAGATTGAGACATCCCTGGAAACAGCAATTGCTGTGCTCACATCTGACTTGAAAGTAGCAAGAGTTGACTGTGCCCAAAATAAAAATTGTGTGCTGGCGGTTTTTATGTGCAACTTGACCCCAAGTTCAGATCCCTGGAATGGTGTGAGGTGGTTTGCCTTGTAAGAATATAACAGTTGCAACTTAAGAGTTTGGCATGTTTTTCTAAAATTCTGAGTGTTCTGATGCTCAAGACAGAGAATTGGTTGCTCGCATGGTGTAAAATAAGCAGGGATGGATTTTTACCTCTAGGAGAGTAAAGCATATGGTAGAAAAGCAAAATAAGCATGAGATTTTGTTGTCTGGCACATAGCCCTGCTCTGATTCATTGGTTTGTTTATGTTACAGATTTTGGTAGGTGCTGCTATTTTTCCAAGCAGCGTTATGTACATTTTTATGGAAAGACAAATTGAAAACATCAAATTTTTACTTGGTTTGATTCAGCAAGGGATTTAATTTCCACTTTACAAGCTGATCTTCTAACTCATGTTCTTTCTCTCTTTCCTCTTCTAGGGATTCCTGACAAGGAGAACGTGAGTAACTACTCTCTCTCTCTGCCTAATTTCTAAAAACTGTCATAAGGTAAAAAAAATAATTGTGGTAACCCTATCAACAAAGAGAGCTCTTTATCCATTTTCAAAAGAATCATAAATATTTTCTAATCTTATTCTGGCATCTTTGGGTGAGTCACTGTGAAATATGAAGTGGAGAAGGTCAATGGCTTTGACATAGTCATCACATGTCCTTGATATTAACTAGTACGAAGAAAGGTTATCCTAGGGGCAAACGTTGCTAAGTGTTGTGTTTCTCCCATGAGGCATACATGGAAGTAGAGCCAATCATTAGTTTAATGGCACATAGAAAATAAACTGTTTTTCCTTAATAGGAATATAAAATATGAAATTTGAGGCCAGTTGATTGTATAAATGCACCCAAATACATTAGAGTTAATGTTTCTCTTTGGAAGTCAAAAATAATGAATTATCTAATTAGTTAGGGCAAACAGGTAAGAGACTAGGTGGTTTAGGATAAACCTTTTACCAAGAACCAGTTCCAAGTACTCCTTCTAAGGCTGGTAGTGGTATAGTTGCATTGTCTTTGCATGCAAATAATAATATTAACGATATTAACTGGAATCTAAATTGAGACAACAATATGGAAGGGTTAATGTGGAGGTGTATAATGATTAATCTGAAGTGGTGCTTGATGGTTCTGAGATGTATCAGCTTACTGAGTGCCTCGGTTGCTGCACCCGGGGGCAGTGTTACAGAACTGTCGCCCTTTTCTATTTTTCCCCTGCTTTTTGTCCTGTGTCTGTGGTAACTTCAGACTATTTCCTTTTCAGAGGTCTGACTCTAGCTTTCTTTAGGTCTTCCTGTTTTCATAATGTTGGTTTTAAAGGGCTGGTGGGGAATTCTGACCCACTGCTGTACCATCACAAACTTGGGTTCAAGACCTAGCAATGTCACTTCAAATGTCACATCAAATCCTCATTGGTTGGGTTCAGCAGAGGACTTCAGTTCCTAGTTGTGGGGCTTTGTGCAAGCCTCTTGACTTCTCTAAATATCCTTGCCTTGTCTTTAAAATATGGATATTGGTTGTGATTATCTTAAGAGGCCATCATGAATATTAAATACGATAATCTGTGGCAAGTTTAGAGATTCATACAGTAGAGCTCAGTAAATGTGAAGACTGTTATAATAATTATTTTATCAAGTCTATATCACTTACTACCTATTTTTTCTCCTCTGAAAAATATCCTACCCTTTATAAAGTAATTATCCTTTTACATCTTATGGCTCTCTTTAACCTTGAAAGACATTTGGTCCTGTTGAAAGCATCCATGGAGACATTTGGTCCATGCCAAAAAGACCTTGTTATTTGCCCTTTCCAAAATCACTTGTCATGGACCAAATATGCTTATGTGCTTTTATGGATATAACCAAATTTCAAGGACCTTTTGATGTGGACCAAGTGTCCACATGACATCTTTGACATAAACAAATGTCTCCTCAATTCAGACAGGGAACTGTTGAACTCAGTTGCTCAGTTGTGTCTGACTCTTTGCGACCCCATGATCGCAGCACGCCAGGCCTCCCTGTCCATCACCAACCCCCGGAGTTTACTCAAACCCATNTTTCTCATGATGTACTCTGCATATAAGTTAAATAAGCAGGGTGACAATATACAGCCTTGACGTACTCCTTTTCCTATTTGGAACCAGTCTGTTGTTCCATGTCCAGTTTTAACTGTTGCCTCCTGACCTGCAAATAGGTTTCTCAAGAGGTGGGTCAGATGGTCTGATATTCCCATCTCTTTCAGAATTTTCCACAGTTTATTGTGATCCACACAGTCAAAGTCTTTGGCATAGTCAATAAAGCAGAAATAGATGTTTTTCTGGATCTCTCTTTCTTTTTTGATGATCCAGCAGATGTTGGCAATTTGATCTCTGGTTCCTCTGCCTTTTCTAAAACCAGCTTGAACATCTACCCCTTCTTAAAATACCTTTGTTCAGTGAACCTTTGTAATGGTATTTTGCTATTAAAAATATATCTTTGCATATTGAGTAAAGCTCTAGGTTCATGGAGAGTCTGAAAGTAACCTTTAGACTCTAAAGTAATCGAACTTTGCATCATTTTGGACATGGATATTCCAAAGCACATTGTAATGAATAATATGTGGATAATGAGCTAAATAAAGATGCTAAAAGGGCCTGGTGCTTCCCCATCAAGGAACGTTCAGTGGTGTGGAGAGCACACCCAGAATGGCCAGACCCTAGGAGGTCTCAAATATTCTAATCTTCAAAAGGAAGCTCATTCTCTCTTAGACACCCGCTGACCTTTAGGTTGGACCTCCCTGCAGTGGGACAACAGACAACGTTCTAAGTAGACAGCCTACCAGCTGTCACATATCTCTCTTTTTGACAGAAGAAGAATTTGAAGTTCACAGAAAGTCAGATACAAGGACTTTAACAGCATCTTGCCCTCAAAGATTTAAGGGGCTGGCCAGGCTCTCTGCCCAGTAGCTAGTCATCATACATGCTTATTTGTATTTGTTTGGGTCATTCTATGTCAAATTCTCTAGTAAAAGGAAGCATACTTTTTCTCTATCAGTAAGTAGAGTGGATAGAATGTCACTGCTTGTTATTCAGAAAGCTCGCCAATGCCATCAGTCAAAATAAAGCAAATAAGATGAAAGACATTCATGAGTAGGGTTGAAGTTCTAGAAAGATAAAAGGAAGCCTAAGAGCCTTAAAGTGGTGTTAATTGAATTACTTCCTTTATAAGAGACAAGTTGTATTTGGATGATTTCTTTTATCCTTTACCTTCTTTACATACAGAGCAATATTATAGACCCTTTATGTTTCTCTAATAGCAATAATATGCCTGTGGACTGAAACAAAAGCACTTAGGCTATTGTCTCAGTGTCCAAACAGATTCTTTGTGTAAAGGATATATTCTTTTTTCTAGCTCCTGCTCTTGATTTTTTTAATCACCATGTTTAACTTCTAATCCAATATCAGACATCAGTAAGTGGTGTTTTGAACTGCCTTACCAGCTGTATTTTATTTTTGTACCCAGGCTTACCTTTCATAAAAAGAACTTTCTTTTCATAAGTTGCACTTTTCATAGAAATAAATAGGCTGACAGCTAACCTGCTGGAATATTTTGCTTACTACTTACTGTAATTGATAGAAAAACATCATTCAACTTTAGGTCACACCAGATACTTGAACCTGTAAAATAATTGATAACATTATTAGAAAAATGACCATTGAACTAATAAAGCAAGGAAACCATTTTGGCGTGGCTGCAGTTGTTTAAGGCCTTTGGTTTTATAAATTCTTCTCTTTGATCTCTTTAAGTTTTCTTTTTTTCTGTCTCCTATAAGTGCCATACCTGACTGACCATGTTTAACACAGAAGGTAAAAATAATCACAATGAAAAGAAAGCTTTCTAGTTGAATGTTAGGGTTGCCCTTTGAAGAAATGAGCTTGTCTATAATATTTTCTGCTTAGATAGACTTTGTTGCTTATTGTGCTCCATTCTTTTGAGAGGCAACTGCTAAGGAGTTTTGTAGTTTTAGAAAGTTATACATTTCTTCCTCAGTATGGAAGGAGCCAGAAAATAGACTCAGGGGGATACTAAGAAAAAATGCCACTTCTGATTTACAAACATCTTGTTTCTAAAAGGATCATTTGAGATCTTCGTTTTTTAGGCAGTGTGATTAACAAGCTTCTTGTGAAGTATGCAAGGATACTTTCCCAACACAAAGCACTATCAGCTCAGAGCCCAAGAATTTCCCAAGGCCTGGAAGAAATGATGCCAGCAGTTAATAACAAGCAAGCCTGGGGGTCTTGCAAAACTATTTGGTAGGTCTTTTTTTAAGAAGATTACTTAAGCTTCCCAAACTTAAAAAAAGATCATGGGTTATTTATATGAGGAATAATTTTGGAAATTATTATAAAGACGTAAGCTTTTAAATGGCAAATGGTACGGACATAGTTTATGTGCTTTGTGAAAATTCTCATTAAGGAGAGGGCAGTAGAAGAATAAATAGCAAGTAACTATTAGGGTCAATAGGTTAGCAAGTTTAGGAATTTTTAGGGACTATAATAACATCTCTATTGTTGCTCTTCTTCAAGGTTAGAGAAAGCAAATCAGAGTGTTTTCCACCAATTAAATCTTATTTTAGCATTATAGATTCGCTGTGATTCTCGGCCAAATGAAGAAAAAGGAAACTGTGTATTTTTACACAAACTTAAAACATATTTTTTAAAAAATTTAAAAACTCCATAGAGAATTCCCTGGTGGTCCAGTGGTTAAGACTTCATGTTCCAATGCAGGGGTATAGGTTAGGTCCCTGTTCAGGGAGCTAAGATACCACATGCCTTACAGCCAAAAATCAAAACATAAAATGAACAATATTGTAACAAATTAAATAAAGACTTTAAAAATGGTCCACATTTTTTAAAAAATCTTTAAAAAATAAAGAAGATCCCATGTTGTTGTTGTTATTCAGTCACTAAGTCATGTCTGACTCTGTGAACCCATGGACTGCAGCACGCCAGGCTTCCCTGTCCTTCACCATCTCCCGGAGCTTGCTCAAACTCATGTCCATTGAGTCAGTGATGCCATCCAACCATCTCATCCTCTGTTATCCCCTTCTCCTCTTGCCTTCAGTCTTTCCCAGCATCAGGGTCTTTTCCAATGAGTCAGTTCTTCACATCAGGGAACCAAAGTATTGGAGCTTCAGCTTCAGCACCAGTCCTTCCAATGAATATTCAGGGTTGAATTTTTTTTAGGATTGACTGGTTTGATCTTGTTGTCCAAGACCTTTCATCTCCAGCTTTCAAACTGAATTAAAACCAATGGCATATGGTGGAATACAGTTTTAAAATCCTGCTTTAAAACATGACTAGTAGGCATCCAGAGTTTATCAGGACACCTTGGCCAGAGTTCACAGCTTTGCCTAGGAGCCATGTCCCTCTCTTCTAGGGTGAGAATGGTCTAACCAGCACCATCACACGCTGAAACAATACACATGTGACTAGCTGAGGGTGCGATGCTCTACACAGGAGAGCTAACCAACCAAATGCTGAAAGCAGGAAATCCCGAGCTGCTCATTTTCATTCTGAAGGACAAGTTGCTTATCACCAAAGTGAAGATTAGATTTAGCAGTGTTGCTGGCCCCAAACTATGCATTGTGCAGTGTGTACACACTCATTCCTTAGCTAGCCTATTAGGAAGCAGAGCTCAGTGAGCAAAGAATGGCTTTGCACCACCTCCTGGGAAAAACAGCCTCTTAGTGTCCAAGGTGGCAAGGACAACTTCAGCTCTTGGTCTCTGAAGAAATGTTTGTCTCTGTGTTTGTGAGTTATGTATTTTATGGGGCAGGAGGCCATTGCTCAATTTCTTTCTGCTGCTTATACCATCTCTTCCTCTCCTCATATAAAAGCTGATCCATGTTTTTTTTTCCTCTCTCTCTCTAGCTTCTGCAGTGGTATCCTGATTGAATTTTTTTTTCTCTTTTTTAATTTTATTGGAATAGAGTTTGTTTACCATGTTGTTAGTTTCAGGTATACAGCAAAGGAATTCAGTTATACATATATTCGTTCTTCTCAGATTCTTTTCTCTTAGACGTTATCACAGAATACAGAGTTCCCTATATACAGGGAATTATAGAGTGTCTATAGAGTAGGTCCTTGTTGGTTATCTATGTTATATGCAGTAGTTACGTGTGTGTTCATCCCTAGCTCCTGGTTTATCCCTCCCCCACCGTGTTTCCCTATTGGTAAACCTGAGTTTGTTTTTTATATCTATAAGTCTGTTTCTATTTCTGATTGAATTTTTAAGATGATGTATAGTTGTCCTTCCTCTGCATAGTAAATAGTTAATGCAGGGAACTCTCTGATGATCTGATCTTCTGCTATCAGTTAAGCCATGTGTTTGTAATGTTCTCGCCAGTGTTCACAGGACTGGCTTGCTGTGAGTTTGCTTGATAAAAGGGTATCTTTTTGGGTGTATTGAGGTGATGGTTCCTTAATATATTTTAGACTTATAATATTATGAATGATATTTGGTGACTGATCCAGTGCTCTCATGTTAGTGTGTCTACATTTTCATGGAGCAGAACTTTTGAAGGCTGCAGTCACGGTACTGGTCTCCTAGGACTGCCACTGAGTTACACCATGTAACGCTGCTTTGAATATGTTCTCGGTCTTTTCTGTAATCAGAATTTGACTTGAGCAGATATCACAGAGAACCTGAGAAGTGTTTAATGGTTGAAAGTAATAATCATTAAAGAATAAATAAATATCATAAACGCCAACCTCTCAAGTGGCCGGCCCCTCCCTGCTCTCCCTTTAATAAATGGCACAGCCTTGGGGGAGGCCGCTTGGTATTGGCTGTGCTGCTGAGAATTAGTTCCCCTCTCTGCCGGGTAAGGAAGGTGATGTCGTGTTGATAGTAAGACACTACACTGCTGACTCCAGAGTTGTGGGTGTGTACATTGCTGTCTTCAGAAATTTTTTATCCCGTGCTGGAGGCAATTATATTCATCACCAGTGAAGTGAAGTGAAATCGCTCAGTTGTGTTCAACTCTTTGCAACCCCATGGACTGTAGCCTACCAGGATCCTCCATCCATGGGATTTTCCAGGCAAGAGTACTGGAGCAGGGTGCCATTNTTCTGGAGGCAAGAATACTGGAGCAGGGTGCCATTTCCTTCTCCAGGGGATCTTCCCGACCCAGGGATCAAACCCAGGTCTCCCGCATTGTAGGCAGATGCTTTACCCTACTAACTGGGTGCTACTAGCATGTTATCTCAATTGACTGTGAGACCAAGATATATATATATAGTATTGTTTGTTTGGTGTACTTGAATTTTATTGTCCTTGTTTTGACAAACTGAAATCAAATTATTTGCAAAATATGTCTTAGGTTTAGGAGAGAAATTATAGTGTTATCAGATTGGATAAAGTAATCTAATGATTACAGATCATTTAGAATTTGGATTCTTTTCTAATAATAATTTGGTATCAAACATGTTCCCCTGAGTTGATAATATTAAAATACTCTATAGTTCTCTTTCAGTTAGTTCAGTTCAGTTACTCAGTCATGTCTGACTCTTTGCGACCCCATGGATTGCCGCACGCCAGGCTTCCCTGTCCATCACCAACTCCTGGAGCTTACTCAGACTCATGTCCATTGAGTCAGTGATGCCATCCAACCATCTCATCCTCTGTTGTCCCCTTCTCCTCCTGCCCTCAATCTTTCCAAGCATCAGGGGCCTTTCCAATGAGTCAGCTCTTCACATCAGGTGGCCATAGTATTGGAGTTTCAGCTTCAGCATCAGTCCTTGCAATGAACATTTAGGACTGATTTCCTTTAGGGTGGACTGGTTGGATCTCGTTGGAGTCCAAGGGACTCTCGAGTCTTCTCCAACACCACAGTTCAAAACCATCAATTCTTTGGCGCTCAGCTTTCTTTATAGTCCAGCTCTTACATCCATACATGACTACTGAAAAAACCATAGAGTTGACTAGATGGACCTTTGTTGGCAAAGTAATGTTTCTGCTTTTTAATATGCTATCTAGGTTGGTCATAACTTTCCTTCCAAGGAGTAAGCGTCTTTTAATTTCATGGCTGCAGTCACCATCTGCAGTGATTTTGGA